CGCCTGTGTGTGGACGTATGTGGTTGCTGCGCCTGTGTGTGGACGTATGTGGTTGCTACGCCTGTGTGTGGACGTATGTGGCTGTTGCGCCTGTGTGGAGGTATGTGTTTGCTACGCTTGTATGTGCACGGATGTGGCTGCTACGCCGGTTGGTTCGCCTGTGTGTGGACGTATGTGGTTGATACGCCTGTGTGTGCACGTATGTGATTGTCACGTATGTGTGTGGACGTATGTGGGTTCTACGCCTGTGCGTGCACTTATGTGGTTGCTACGCCTGTGTGTGGACGTATGTGGTTGCTGTGCTCGTGTGTGGACGTATGTGGTTGCTGTGCTCGTGTGTGGACGTATGTGGTTGCTACACCTGTGTGTGGACGTATGTTGTTGCTACGCCTGTGTGTGGACGTATGTGGTTGCTACGCCTGTGTGTGGACGTATGTTGTTGCTACGCCTGTGTGTGCACGTATGTGGTTGCTACTACGGCTGTGTGTTCACGTATGTTGTTGCTACGCGTGTGCGTGCACGTATATGGTTGCTGTGCTTGTGTGTGGACGTATGTTGTTGCTACGCCTGTGTGTGGACGTATGTGGTTGCTACGCCTGTCTGTGCACATCCCTATCCCATCCGTCTCTACTATCAACTGACACTCCCACAGTCAATGACTAAGTAATCGCTAATCCACTATTCACATCCCTATCCCATCCGTCTCTACCATCAACCGACACTCCCACAGTCAATGACTAAGTAACCGCTACACCCACTATTCACATTCCTATCCCATCCGTCTCTACCATCAACTGGCACTCCCACAGTCAATGACTAAGTAACCGCTACACCCACTATTCGCAGCCCTATCCCATCAGTCTCTACTATCAACCGACACTCCCACAGTCAATGACTAAGTAGCCGCTAATCTACTATTCACATTCCTATCCCATCCGTCTCTACCATCAACTGACACTCCCACAGTCAATGACTAAGTAACCTCTACACCGACTATTCACATCCCTATCCCATCCGTCTCTACTATGAACTGACACTCCCACAGTTCAAGTGTATTGCTTTAACCTTGACACCTCGTCTCATCTACTGGTTGTTTGTTTGTATTCTGTGTGTGTGTGTTGTCATGGTTACTATCAGACACCTCCTCGGGCATTGGTACGGGACTGGCTACCAACCGCGTTGTCATAGCAACCAAATCCCCCGCGCAGACGGCTGCTGTCGACGCACTCCGACAGCAGAGGCATAGGGCCATGGAGGTGTATGGGCTGTACTTGGAGCTACTGACCATCTTCATCACCCACCCGTCGGTGGTGGTAGGTACATATGCCGCAAGCACTATCAAGATGGCCTTGAGCACCCCGGCTTTGGTACAGAATGCACCTGAGTTCAAGGGCTATGACCTGTTGTTGGCGGCCCTCCCCAGTGTGTTGCAGGTACGCACATGCGGGGCAAAGTGTCTGGTGCATCGGCCCACTGTAGGCGACTTTTGGGGCCACCTCATTGGGTGTACAGATACCGATATCTGTCTGTGACTGTTGAGTGTTTAGGGTTTTAGGGTTTTAAGGTTTTAGGGTGTTTTGTGCAAAGGTTATGGTGTGCGAATATTGTATGGCTCACCTGATTGTTCTGTTCTCCAAAGCAGGGTTTAGGGTTTAGGGTTTAGCTAAGCATGATTGGGTTTTAGGGGTTTAGGGTTTAGGATTTAGAGTTTAGGTTAAGCATGATTGGGACATGTTTACAAACAGGGCTACTGCGCATCGGTTTCCAACGCCCACTCAGCTTGTTCGCTCAGTTACGCGTGTGTGTGTGTCTCTCTCTCTCGTAGGGTGTGGTGATGCTAGCCATGAAGAGTGATGGGCCTGACACCTCCGCCTCCGCTGACACTCCCGTGGCGGTGTATCTGCTCATGGACTTTGACGACGTCAATGCCTTCAGCGCCTTCCACTCCACCGCTCGCTCTAATGCGCTGCAGTTGGCACAGGCCATGGCCACCATTGCGCCGGTCGAGGCCTTTGAGGTGAGCGTGTGACCACAGACGGCCGTGGAGGGGGGGGGGGGGGGGGGATGGTGTGTTGTGTTGTGTACTGTGCTGTGTGCTGTGTGTTGTATGTGGTGTAGTGTGTGTGGTGTGTTGTGTGTTGTGTGTCGTGATGTGTGGTGTGCTGGCACAGGCCATGGCCACCATTGCGCCGGTCGAGTGTGAGCACAGACGGGCGTAGAAGGGGGGGTTTGGTGTGGTGTGTTGTGTGGTGTGTTGTGTAGTGTGTGTTGTATGTTGTGCAGTGTGTGTTGTATGTTGTGTAGTGTGTATTGTCTGCTGTGTGATGTATGTTGTGTAGTGTGTGCTGTGTGCTGCGTGTGCTCTGAGTGTGTTGTAGACTGTTTTCGTGATGTAGTTTTAGGGTTTAATAATTGATAAGCCCTTCGTATGGGTGTATGTATGGCGTGTAAGCTATACGTGACTTGCATGTATCTGTATCGCGTTGTATGTTGTGGGCTTGTCCGAAGTGTTTATGTTTTGGGTTTAGGGTTTAGTTGAAACCCCTAAAAATATAGCAAAACAATTGATTTTACTTGCATACCTCTTGTTCAACTGTAGTTGTGTACTCCGCTGTGCCTCCGTACTAACTGGATGATCTCTCCTTTCCTCAGCTTTTGATTGGTTACCTGAGTGAGCTGGCCAATGAAATCGCCGCTTTGGATGCGAGTACTGTACAAATGCCCGAGGTGCCATTGGAGAACAGGCGCAAGTGGGAAGCGCTGAGTGTCATCTTTGGCAAAACTGTAACAGGCATGCTGGAGGCCAGAACCAAACTACTGAGCGAAAAGCAGGACTCGCCCATTCGAGCCACCGCTGTATGTGCATATACTTACCTACATCTGTATGTAATATACTTACCTACAACTGTATGTACATATACTCTGTTTGTACATATACGTAACTACAACTGTATGTACATATACTTACCTACAACTGTATGTACATATACTTACCTACAGCTGTATGTGCATATACTTACCTACACCTGTATGTGCATATACTTACCTACAACTGTTTGTGCATATACTTACCTACAGCTGTATGTAATATACTTACCTACAACTGTATGTACATATCCTTACCTACAACTGTATGTACATATACTCTGTTTGTACATATACGTACCTACAACTGTATGTACATATATTTACCTACAACTTTATGTACATATACTTGCCTATAACTGTTTGTACATATGCTTACCTACAGCTGTATGTGCATATACTTACCAACAGCTGTATGTGCATATACTTACCTACAACTGTATGTACATATACTTACCTACAGCTGTATGAACACATATTTACCTGCACTGGACCGCCGTTATTCCTGTTGGGCGTGATATGTATGCCCTTGTCCGAAATAGAACTCCTAAACCTTGAACCCTAAACCCTAGTCGCTGGGCTATGCACACAATGGTGGACTGGCTCTTGTCTGTTCAGACCGAAGGCCATATACCTCCCTAATGTTCACATACCTACATGTAATCCATGCTCACCTACCTACCCGTCCCCCACGTGCAGATAGCTACCATTGAGAATAGCATCCAGAACTCTTATCCTGCGCTGGTTGCCTTCGCCCCGCGTGTACATTCGATGATGGCGGCGCATCTCAACACTCTGTCGTCGTACCTGCCTTATCTGGCCATCAATCCGTCCCACCTGATGTCGTACATTGACATGTTGTTTTCGCATCTGCTCAAACCGGCGGTAAACACGTAAGTGCACACAATGACTGAGTGGCACTGTGGCGTGTGGTCACACTTTGCGTTGGTGGATGTGTGTGCAGGAGTGTCTGTGGTTGTATGTAGGTGTTTGCCTACCTGTGTGTGCGATTGCGTATGAGTGATATCTCACATGCGTCACACAGCTATGTGCATATCACCCCTCTTACCTCTACCCCTCTTATCTTTATCCCTCTTATCCCCACCCGGTCCTTCTCGTGCACACCAGAGTCGGCAACCAGAGTGCCGTGGGGGGTCGTCCTAAGACGGTAGACGGAGTGTTTGATGTCGAGGAAGTGGGGCAGTTGCTGGTCAGGCGCAGTGCCTGCAAGTACTTCATCCGTGCGTGCAAGGACACCAACGGCCAAATGCTGTCACTGGCCGAGGAGTGTGTGCGCAAGGTGGACTCTATGTGGTCTAATCAGCTTCTGTCATGGGGTGAACGCGGTAGGTATTTAGGGTTTCGGATTTTAGGGTGGAGTGGTGTGCTATGCGTTGCAGTTGCGTTGTACTTCATAACTTTCGCTTTGCGCTTGTCGCGTGTGTGTTTAGGCTCAGCTGTGGCCGTCGGTTGTCAACAGATACCACGTGCGTAGCCATGCAGCTGTTTGGGTTTAACGTTTTATCTCCCTAAACCTCCCCATTGGGTTGTTGGAGATGCTTTCCATTGACTATTGTTGTACTGTTGTTGGTTGAGATGCTTACCATTTACTATCCCCCCTCTCTTCTTGCTTTTATTCTCTGCTTGCTTTGCATAGGCTTGTTAATCGAGGGACTATTTCTGGTTAGCAACCACATCACGGACAGCGCCCAGCAGAGCGAGTTTCTGAATCAGGTGGCAGGCGATACCATCAATCGGTGGACTACAAACGAGCTGACTAGGGGTGTTGCCAGTGCCGCGTCCTTCGTGTCGTATATTGGTAGGTAAAAAAATCAGCAAAGTTGTTATGGTGTAGGTAAATAACCAGCATAGTCATGGCTTCGTAAGTCATATTGATACCGTTTTATTGGTGAATAGCTGCTGCCTCCCGCAAGTCTTCTTTTAGCGTTAGAATGTCTAATTCGTTTTCTAACCTTAGAATGTCGAAGTCTTCTATTGGCGTTAGAATGTCTGTGGGTGTTTGTGTATCTGTTTGGTGTGCATCAACAGTTATCTCTCGCCCACTGCTGTGATAAAACCCTAAAAACCAAAACCCATAAAACCCTAAACCGCTAAACCACTGAACCACTGAAACCCTAAAATCCTAAAACCCTAACACCATAAAACCCTAAACCACTAAATCACTAAACGACTGAAACCCTAAAACCCTGAACCCCTAAACGCCTACCCCCTCCGATCCTCCCACCCCTGCCTGGCGCAGGTATCGACGCCCTTGACCCCAGCGAAGACGCACTCACCCACCGTGAGACCATGATTGGGTGTGTCAAGGTCATCTACGGTGCCTCCATGCGCCTCACCACACCCCACAGACCACCCACTCACATGGCCCAGGCACGGGCACAGGCCATAGGCAGCACCTCTACGCCCCAGGACGTCTTTGCGCCTGTGCTGTTGGCTGTGCTGCCTAACTTGCTCAGCATGATCAGATGTGTCCATGAGCTGTGGACTGTGCAGGGCCGCACGCACATCCATCCACAGCTGCAGTATGTCAATGCGTCGTACCACCATGTGTATTTACTCATCCATTCACAGCTGCAGTATGTACCATATGTGTTATCACATCCATCCACAGCTGCAGTATGTACCATGTGTGTTATCACATCCATCCACAGCTGCAGTATGTCTATGCGTCGTACCACCATGTGTGTTTGTAGGACAGTCGGTTCTATCTGTGGTACAGTCAATGTGTGTACGTAGTGCACCCGTGTTTCATCCGTAGTAATCCCTGTGTGTCTATTCCTTATACATCCATCACCCAGTGGTGTGCTGGAGATGAGCAAAGAAGAAGCGGCGCTGCGTCTGGGCGGGTTTCTCAGCAACAACGCCGAGAAGCGCAGAGGTAGCAAAGACACGGACAACAACGCACAGATCACCTTCAAGACAGGCATTGACAGTGTACGTAATTTCTTGGACAACATGCGAGACAACTCCTATCTGGCCCTCAAGTACATGCTGGGGCGTGCTGTCTTCTACACCATCCCAGACATCTCCGGCATTCTGCTGGAGACGGTGTTTAACGGCATGGATCAGATGCAACTCAAACACGTGCGCTTTGTCACGAAGAACGTTGTGCACACACTTGTGGACAACTGCCCCGCCCAGCACCACCGCACCATCCTGTCGTCATGTAAGTGGGTGGGTGGGTGGGTAGTCGATGGTTTGTGACGGGTTGTTTCGTGGGTGGTGGTGGGTGTATCTGACCTTGGTATATACCGCCATCCCAGTCATAAGTGCATACACACACACGCATATTTTGGGAATGATTTTACGCAAATTGGTATAGCCGTACAGATTTTTAGGCTCTCAGCCCTAAAACCCTTTACATACACATCTCATTCATCGTGTCGTGTGCGCATGCATATCCCTCCCATTCATTATGACATACATATGCATCTCACTCATGTTGTCATGTGCACATGTATATCCCTCCCATTCACTATGACATATACATATGCATCTCACTCACTGTGTCATGTGCACATGCATATCCTTCCCATTCACTGAGGCATATACACATACATTTCACTCAAGGTGCCATGTGCACATGCATATCCCTCCCATTCACTGTGACACATGCATTGCTCTCCTGTGCATAGTGCTGCCTGGCTACATCAGCTTCATCACACAGCTGCTAGACGAGCAGTGGAGTGAGTTCATGCGGCGTGTGCCTGACTTGCGTGCAGGGGGAGGTCTTGAAGGGGGTCTGCCAAATGACCGCGACTCCACCCGCGGCACAGAGAATGAGGAGGTATTGGCTGTGTTGGAGTGTTTGTGTGTTGCTTAGGTAGGTAGGGTTTTGGGTTCAGTGGTGGGGCCCAGCCGCTTCTACTAACCAGTTGAATAGATTCTCAGAACGTTTGAGGGTTCGATGGTTTTGTTTCTTTTCAGGGTTTAAGGTTGTGGCCGTTGTAGGGTGTGTGCTATACATAGCGGTAACAGGTCGTGTGCTCGGGTTTTGTGCGGTCCGGAGGTGTCCTGAGCCATCTCACTGTACTCGCAATGTATGTGCGGTGATTTGAGTCTATATATATATATATACACACACACGCACACACACACACACACACATATATATATATATATGTATATATATATATACTTATATATATAGTATATATATATA